GTCGGACACGACTTAACGGCTGAACAAAAATTGCCATTCCCTGATATATTCTGCCTACCTAGTTCGTGTGATGAGGGAGCACCTGCTGAAGAACCCCTCCTATCACAGAAAGTGATGGTGAGGGAACATGACAGCAGGTGTTCTCTGTGGAGACTCCTTTCCTTTGGAACAGCCTGCCCCACAAGGTGTGGGTGGCTTCCACTCATGGCCTTCTGAAGAGTAGTAACAACTTGACTGTTTTTGGAAGGCCTTTGGGAAATGAGTGTATGGGTATCAGCACCAGAATGGCTACGGTTAATCTGTATTATATATTAATAATGTTAGTATATTTTAGGCCTGTCCATTGCTTAGTCCTTTGGGATCGAGGCCCTCAATACATTTTATAAATAAATAAATAATGCAATGCACATAAACCTTTTGCATTGCGATTAGGAATGGCTGCAGCTGCATTCTCCATTACATTGTCTGCTTTGAAATGTAATCCAAACCCCCAATGTGTGTGTGTGTTTTTTAACTGCTTAACCAACAGTCTGCAGTAGATTATATTCAATTTGCCTTGGTGGTTAGGTTTGAAAAAAGGACAGGATAAATACCGTTCTTGCCCAGAGTTGACAGAGGAAGAGAGCTGAACACCACGCAGCATTTAAACCAGGCTTGTTCTTGCAGAAGTGTTTTATTGAAAGCGTCTGGCAGTGGCTGAAGTTTGTACAGATGCTTGGGAGCAACAGTAGATGAATTTATTTCTTTATGGAATTTATACACCCCTTCAATCCAGCCTGGCTGTACATGTTTACTAGGGCAATAATACAAAATTAAAATTAGAAAAATGTAATGCAATATAATAATAATGCAGCATGAAAGTAACACTGTTTATTTCACCAATTTGTATCACGAGTGTCTTTGGGCAGTGAACAAGATTAAAGTAAATTAAAAGCAATTACAACCAAAAATTAAAATACATAGCATATATGCAAGAGAGAGACTTGATGCATAACAGAAGGGGAAGCAATGAACCTGCATGTTTTTTTTTTTTTGGTCAAAGCCATAATGGACTGGATAAAAGGAGGATATTTGTACTGCTGTTTAAAATATTTTTGGAGAGCACAAGTAAGATGGAAGTCTTTAAGATGGCCTTGCTTGGTTTTTCACGGTTCCTATTTCCTTGATTGCATGTTACAGGCGAGTTTATACCATCAGAAAAAGTGCATGAAAACCTCTTCGAAGGTTCTGAGCGAAGGTTCAAAAGGCCATCGCATCCAGCAGTAAAACGCTATAACCGGAATCGAACAGCACAGGAGAAAGAAAAGATGGCACAGCGGTTGTTGAAAAAGGAAACAAAGTTGCGAAAAAGACTTGCTGAGAAAGGAATAGATTATGATTTCCCTGGGTTTGTAAGTGAATGTTCTTTTTTCTGGATAATACTATAATGAGAAGAATGAGGTACAAACATGATTACTGCATATTGACTGCAAATTTAAATGCCTTAAGTTAGAATACAAAGGTTATATTGTCATCAAACAAAAGGTTGGCAGCCAGTTACAATTTTCTTAAAAAGACACCTGTGTCACGCATATGTTTGCAAAGAAATGTTAGTCTTTGCTCTTTATGCATTCAGGTGAAATCTTAAAAATAAGTTATCACGCCCTCCTGTCTTGTTTCCCATGGCAAGGAGTTAGTCACTTCCAGATGAACAGATAGAACTGGTTTATAAAATAGAGACAATAAAAAAATGTAGGAGGGGGGGAGAATAGAACACACCCCTCCAGCAGCCAACACTCAGATAAGCAGGCATCAATACCAGATAAACAGGCAGAAAACAATAATCAAGATACTACCAAGGAGGAAACCACACCCCTACCAAAACTGGCAGGGTAAGCCATTATATATCCAGGCCAGAAGCCCCATCCCCTTTCGCACTGATGATGTTACCTAGTTGGGTAATGAAACCTCTGCAAACAAGCAACCAAGCTCAGAGAACCCCAAGGACTCCACAGGGCGTTTGTTTTCTGTTCTTATTTGTTTTACGTGTTTGAAGAAGGCCAACGAGTATGTAAATATGTCTTGCATAAACCCCTCACAAACATGACGTGTGAACTGGCTGTGGTATCCTAGTGACAACTCCTAACTGGGAATCAAATTTAGGGTTTTATATTCCTCTATTTCTAGCACTTTCATCCTATTTTGGTGAGAACCATTTATACTGAATTTCACGCCTTCAAGGCAAATTCAATATGCTAACTGTTTTAAAGATTATTAATTAACATGTTTATTTTTAAAGTTGAATTACAAGGTGATCTTAATGCTAAGACTCTCTTTCTTAGGCTGCTCAGATGCCTCTGATAAAGAAAAAGAAGATTTCAAAATCAGTTTCTAACAAGAATGCATCAGTGGATGATGAAGTAAGTTTTGGGTTTTGAAATCTTCTGAATTACGATGGGCCTTCTATTTGAGGGAGGGAAAATGTATTGGAGTATAGTCACAAATGTTAGTATATCAGTGAGTGTTTCCTTGAATGGAAGGTCTTTACACTGACCTTCATGCCTGTGGGGGTTCTTTTGAGAAACGGTACAGACTACCAACAGTGAGACTGTTGTTACTTTGCCTGTGCTTTCAGGGAGGCTTTTATACTATAAAAAGGTTAACAAAGTTGCCTGTTTCCTAACCTCTGCCTTAACATTTATCACTAAATCTATGCTACATAGATTATTATACTAATGTGATGCCTATGTGTTTATCTAATTCCTAAACAGTTCTATGAATAGTTCTGTTCTTCGTTGCCTTTAGTCACCTTTGAGTTAGTTGGCTTCTGTTGCTGTCAGCTGCTGTTCTGAACTGCTACTGAATTGTTGGCTTTGCAATTTCTCGGTTTGGAGGAAGGAGGGAGGTGCTTTAAAAGCTGCTGGCTGGAGGCTCTCAGCATCTCTGCCAGGGTGGTGAGGCTGCTGGGTTCTGCTTCCCTTTTCAGCTTTTCAGCTGTTGGTTTGCTGAAGCCCAAGCTTGCTCCTCCTTCACCATCAGTTGCCTGCTAAGCTGACAGCTGCTCTACTCCCTCAGCTGCAAATGCTTCCTCTCTGCTTTCCCACAGGACATAAATCTTCCTCCTACACACCCACACTTGAGTGCAGTGTATCTCAACCTTAGCAGGTGAATTCTGAGAGTTGACGTCCACTCAACTTAAAGTTGCCAAGGTTGAGGAACGCTGCTCTAGTGCTAGCAGTGTTTCCCTTTCATAATTGGAAACCAAGGGTGACCCAGTGCTCTTCAGGTTGCCTTAAAGTCCCAGGGGAGTAAACATAGGGAAAGAAATGCTCATGCTGGCCGCTGGAAGGCTTTCCTTCCACAGTGCCATCTTAAGATGAGTATTTTTCCTGTGTGTTCAGAGGGAAACAGACAGGTCACTTCATCCCATTGCATTATTTCCCATCTCTGTGCTGTGTCATTTCCAGGTTATGTGGACTTAGTCATGGAAAAGAGGATAATAAAGTTACCATACTGAATTAAATTTAGAATATTTATGGGAAATTGTTCTCAGTATTTTCTTCAGAAAATAACTGGGGAGAGGTTATCAATGTTTTTGTCTTGTAATCTCCAAATTAGAACAGGTAGAAAGCTTTCCCGTTTCAGTCACTGCCAACAAATATTTCAGCTTTTTGTGAAAGTACACTTTTTAATAATTAACCCACAGCGGTTCTGCTTAATTTAATAATTTTCTTCTCTACCTGTCCAGGATCCCACTCCAGTGTGTACACCAACAGTTCTTGAACGCCGACAATCTCAGCCGGAAGACAGTGAAGATAAAGAAATAACTTTCAAACTACCACCTGCGAGTGCAAAATCTGCCCTACAAAAAAGCAAAACAGCAAAATTACAGAGAAAAACAGCTGGAAAGAAAAAAAAAATGTAAACCTTAACAATTTCTTTATCACAAGGGCATTTTTATTTAATACACAAGATGTTTCTCAGTTCTAGGGATAAGTCCTATGTAGTTTCAGTATGTTACTCCCCTTTTCTACTGTCAAATTGGCATCCTGTTCTGGATATTCTGCCGAAATCTTCCAGATTGACTGCAGTTTGGCAGAAGCAACATTCTGAATGTTTTTGTTATGTAGAAATCCCAGAGTAATTTTATGGGTGAGGAGGGCAAGACTGGTGCATGTCAGCTCTTCCGTCCTTTAGAAACAAATATATATAATGTCGCTTCCTCTGCACAGCTTGTGCACCAGTTTATCAGTGGTTGCAGCAGCTCCCAGCACAGCACATTTCACCAGTTCACTGTTCATCCCAGGATCCCCCCTTCCCTCCAGTGCCACTAGTGTTCTAAGAAGACACATTCCACTGACCCATCTACTCAGTAACTTTCTTCCTCCATTGGCTCTTCTCACCACCACCAGTGACCCACCTAAGCTTTGATATTCAGAACAAACACATCTCATAATTAAACATGGGCTCTACTGCTACAGAAATATTTTTAGATACTGCCAGTTTTGAGGTTTTTAACCCTGTAAAATGGAACTACTTGATACCAAAGGTATCAGAAATGTTGCCACAGATGTCTACAAGGAAAGTTTGAACTGTGGGTGAACGTCCATGAGAGAGAAAAAATACGGGATATTGGAGAAAACGTTTTCTAACTGTAACTCAAATTCCAAATAAATTGAATCAAAATCAAAAGCCTTGAATGATGTGCATTAGAACTGTATTAACTATAGATTTCAGTTTGGCTAATTGGTCATGTATGCAAACAAGACATGTCCAGTGTAGTTGGTCAGCCTTCCTCAACCCAGTGCGCCAGCTGGAGGCTGTGGAAAGCAAAAATTGGAGAAGGCTGTATTGGATCATTGCTATTCTGTGTCAGTAATACTGCTTTGCCTTGAATCCAGAGTGAACTGGAATTCATCACCAGAAAAGCAGGTAAGAATTCAGGACACAAAGATCTGCATCTTATACCACTGCAGGCATCCATGCCAGGTTTTGTTTGTTTTTTAATCCTTATTTCAAACATTTCAATAGTCATTAACCATTGAGGGGGCAAAGTGAATATTATCACACAATTCAAAAAAGTGTGTATTAATAGTTTATTACATTTAAACAATTGGCATTGAATAGCTTTCTTCGATTGTAACATGGTTTGCCTTCTAGGACCATTGGAATAACTTGTATTGATGGTCAAAACAAACCATTTTATTCCCATCATCTCGTGTTCCCTGGATTGGTGACCATCCAGATAGCTGTTCTTCATAGCTATGTTGAGATCGCTGTAAGGAAGTACCAGGTGAGGTTTGGAAATGCTGAATTTGAATGAAGGCGTCTCCAGATCAGTTTTTTGTTCTGCTAATGACTAGCGAGATGTGTATAGGAGTCCACTGCAGGACCAGAGTCCAGTGACCTGACCTCACCTCTGCTTTGCTTCCAGGCTGGTGGTATTTAGAGCTATAGATGTTAAAGGTAATAAATATTTACTGATACAATCAAATTTAAATTTAATGGCACATTGGGGTCATAATAGTGGCATTTTCCATTAAATTAAAAAGCCCATTACTTCTAAATGCAGGTACTTTGCCTAATTGGGTACAAGATGTGTTTACGTCATTTGAGTAATTATGCAAATGACGTCAGTTTTCTAGAGTGCTGCTAACAAATTGGTCTGGGTAATCAACTTTTTACTATGCAAAGCTTTTTTTCTCTCCCCAAATTACCTGGGAATTGGGAGGAATCAGTTGCTGCTGAGAGGAATATACCTGTTAAAAACCAGTAAATGGGAGCAATTTCAAATAGCTGCCCACATCACTGTTGAAAAGCCCAAGGGCCACTGAAGACTGCCTGCCTGCTCAGTTGTAGCCAGGGGTATGCAACATGAAGCCCGGGGATGCCTTCCAGATGCCAACCAGGAGATCAACTGAAGTTGATAGAAGTTGATAGGTCCTGATGCCCAAAATGAGGGTGGGTGTGGCTTTTCAGGCTAGTTTGCCAGGGTTGTGCAACCTACTAAACCCTGAAGTAATCACACAGGCCAGCTCAGACAGCCCACCAGGCTACACTTCAGTTGGCTAATTTGTAATAAATGGTGCCATTCGAACCCAATTTGAGTTGTTTTTGTTTGCTTGCCATGGATCACAAGCTGCCTGATAAGTTGCTGAGCCTACCTATAACTGGCTGTCCTCAAGAACGAAAAGACTCTTCCAGACCATGTACCAGAACATATGGCATACCCAGGTAACACACCAGCACCCTACAAGTTTCGAAAACAAGTCAAATGCCATGCTCCCCCCCCCCCTTTTTTTAAGCTTCCTAATGCAATCAGCAGCCCCTGCGTTTTCTGGCCATCTTTCATCCAAGTGCTAACCAAGTTTATCCATGCTTGCTTTTATCAAGATCACCAGTACTGCCTTATATGGCTCTTCAACTGATTTTCACATTATTTTCAAAGAAAATACATTTTTTAAAGTGGCTTTGCTGTTACTTTACCTTCAGGTTTAGTTATCTGCAGCACCGGCATGAAAGAAGGCCATTTACATGTGTATGTTGGAGCAACAAATAAGGATATGAATAGCCTTAATTCCACACTTCACCATGTTCGCGCCCATTCCTCAATTTTCCTTTTTTCCTTGCAAAAACTGGCCAGATAAATGTTTTGGAGAGGCTGCTTTGATGAGTTGAAATAGAGGATGGTCAGCACTAGAGGGCAGATTTATTCCGGTTAAAAGAAGACATCCCACCCCCTGCCCCCATGAAGGGAGCATCTTGTCCTGCCATAGAGAGATTAAGCAGTAAAACATTCAAAGAAAGATCCTGGAAAAGAATGAATTCCAGTGTCTGGGTGAGGAGGAGAGAAAGACACAGGGAAATAAAAGGCACTTCTGCAGCATGAAGAATATTGGCTAGGCTGTAGTAAGTTAAGTCTCTGAGTCACTTTTGATTCCTGGTAATTTCATGGAGCCGTTTATGCAATTTGCATGATATGACATGGAAGTGGTTTCCATTTTTTGGTATTTGCTAGTCTAGCCTACTTCCCAGTTGATCCAAGTATTAACTAGAGCCAACCTTCCTTGACTTTCCAGATCTAGAGCTGCCACACTAAACATAGGATCTATCAGCATAAAAAAGGATTAGATTCATCATGGTTTTGCTCCATCCCATCAAATTCAGCATACCCACAGGAACTTTATATCCGCTTATTCATTAAAGCTGTGCAGATCTGTGCCCTTTCTGAATTGAGTTTGCTGTCCTGATTTCCTTCAAGGTTTCTAGCAATGTTTTTATGGTACAGAAACTTTTGAAGCTGTGATTTCATTGCAAGAGGATCTGGCTTGCTAAAGAAATTATTCCAAGTAAGAACATAAACATTGAAATGAGGGCATGGCTATGTCTGTTCAGATATTGGCTAAAAACTCATTTTCAGCCCCAAGAAATTTGGGGGGGGGGGCTGTCCCTTTGAGTCAGTGTTGACTTCTGGCACTTGCCTGGACTAGTCCCTGCAGTTTTCTTGGCAACATTTTTTAGAAGTGACTTGCCATTGTGTTCTTCTTAGGGCAGAGAGAGAGGGACTGGCCCAAGGTCACCCAGCTGGCTTCATGCCTAAAGCAGGACTAGAGCTCACCATTTCCCAGTTTCTAGCTTGCTGCCTTAACCACTACACCAGACTGGCTCTCAGATGAACATCAGATAAATGTTATTCCCATTGGAAATTCCAAATAAAAGACATTTGATAAAAATTGGGATTCTCAAGTGAGTTGCTGATGCAACTGAGAAAAAATTAAGCCATGATAGCTCTCAAAAGATTCTTGATACAGAATTACCAATAGAATATAGCAAGACATCACTTACTCAATTGGGTCACAGTAAATTTTATTTCAGACCAACATTATATTTGGACCAATTTATGAATAATACATTTTGGAGCCCTTTATGCCAGCGTTTCTCAACCTTGGGAACTTTAAGATGTGTGGACTCCAACTCCCAGAATTCCCAAACTGGGGAATTCTGGGAGTTGGAGTCCACACATCTTAAAGTTCCCAAGGTTGAGAAACACTGAGCTACACAGAGCTAGCTAGCTAGACTGAGGTTGAGAAACACTGCCTTACAGGACTGGGGTTGAATATCTTCTGTCAGCGGTGTTGGAGGGTAAATACTACAAAATGTGCTACGCTGAAAGTCATTGTCCTTGTAAAGATGAGAGCCCTGAATCACAGGATCACATCCTGTTTTTCTGTGATTTTTACCAAGACCCTTGCAATGACATCTCTTCTTAATCCATTTGCAAGTCAGACAGAAGAATTCTACATGCAACTCCTCTGGATGGATAAAGATCCCACGGGAACACTTGCTGTTGCAAAGTTTGTATTTGTAGCCTGTAGAATTTGTGTGTTGTTGATAGCGTGATTACTGGCCCTTTTACCATGCGTGCTATATTGTACTTTGTATTATATGCTGTACTTTGTTTTATTCAGGCTGGTTCTGTGACCCATAATAAAGTTTGATTGCTTGATTGCAAGAGGATCATGGCAGTTAAATTTTGTGATATTCTTTGTGTGCCTGTGAGTGCATGCCGTGTTCATTCACCTAAAGATGCAGCAGGTGCATTTCCACAACATAAACTTGAGCAGGGTCAACTGAGGTTAGTTTTTTGTGATTTGTTATTTTGTGAAACCCCAGCCTCTTTGACAGCTTATGGTTCAGTGTAGTGTGTGAACTTAGAAAATGGGTTAATAAAACCAGTTAAACATGTTTTGTGAATACAACCACTGAATCATAAACTAAGGTCTGAGTTATTTGTGTGGCCCTTGGTTACAGTGTTACAGTTTTAATCTGTTTATGTGTGTGTTATTGTATTGTTTTAATGTATTGTGAGTCACCCAGCATCACATGAGTGAGACTGGATGGCTGTATAAGTTGTTTAGATAAAGAAATAACCACACTGAATGAATACACTGAGTTTCAAATTAGCCAATCTCAGTTTACCTAATTTTGCATAAACCTGCCTACTCTGAATCTGTGAGATCTTGCTTTCTTGGTTGGGAGCTGGGGTAAGAAGGTTGACTACAAGATTTCTTTAACCATATTTTTACCAATAAGCCATAATTATCTGAGATGGAAAACATACTAAGTGTATTTAACCAAGTAACACTACAGCTTAGCAAGATATGTGAATCTAGTCAACATTTAAGCTGACCCTTTCTACTGTCTGCTTAGATCTTATTTATTGAGCAAGTCATAATTTGGGGGATTTACACAACCAATTCCCTAACTATGGTTTACAAATCATAATTGTTGGGTTCAGAGAAACAATAAGCTAAACCCAAACAAACCAGATCATTTGCAACCTTGTCAATGTCTTACTTTTGTGCTAAAGAAAGGATTTACAGTCTTCCATTTTTGCAACTTCACTATCCTTTAATTGGCTTCATTTAATGTATGATAGCTATTTAAAAGGTTTTGATTCACAAGACCTCATGTCTCATTATATAACACTTGTCTTCTTAAATTGCATAAAGGCTTTCCTCATCAGCCAGGGTGGCCAGGACAGTTTCTTGTTCTGACATATATGGTAACAAATCATGGTTTAGAACAGGACTTGAACCAGATCACTGGTTGCAATGATTTAGAGTCTTGATTGAACATGGAGGAAATGTCTCTTCTCCGCACTGAAATGAAGCCTGTTTAATTGACCGTGC